AGGAGGAATTATGATGACATCAAAGCTACGAACAAGCCAGAGTGCGGTTTTATGATGACATTCATCAATGAGGTTTTCAATACGTTGTCTCATGCGAGCTTGTGCACGGCGCATAGAATTTCGTTTCCGTGAGGATGCTTGAGCTGTGCGGGAGATAAGGTCGTCAAGGCAAAGAGAGAGACAAACAATCCTTTGAGCATCACCATCGCCAATACAACCAGAGCCATATGTACAGTGCCGTCTCAAAAGTCACGGACCACCCCTTCGATTTTTAATTAATTATGAATAAATCCACAACCAGACGTCTTATAGTCATAGAATTTATACCATTATTGGCGCACATTATAGCTAACATTTCTGCATTTTATTGTAGGTTAAAATAGTAGAATGTTAAACTTACTTAGAGCACGTTTGTATGCTACCAAAAATAGGTAAATAGAATTTTGCGATATCAAAGATTAAAATTGTCCCAAAAAACAATTTACTTAATAATATCTTATAAATTTACATTTATTATAAAGAGCGTAAAAAGCGCTACAAAATACAAAAAAGGTTTTGCAAAAAGCTTGCTTAATCGCTGAGTTATTGAATTTTAAATATAATATAAAATTTAGTAAAATTTCTAATAAAAAATTTTTCATTCAACACATATTCAAGCATAATTGAATATAAAAAACAATATAATATTCATCAATACTTAGTTGCATAGCCTTTAGCCTTTAGCCTTTATAACTGCTTTTACTCTGTTTCCCATACTCAAAATAAGGTTTTGATATATACTAGTTGGAATTTTCTCCCACTCTTCTTGAAGAAATACTAATACAGCCAACTCACTCTCATTTCTTGGTGGTGGCTCCCGCTTTCTAATAGAGCGTTCTAATTTATCCCACAGGTGTTCAATAGGATTAAGGTCTGGACTCTGTCCTGGCCATTTCATCACATTAATCTCTGAATTTTCAAAGAATGTCATTGTCATTTTGCTTTTATGAATTGGAGCTTGTCCTGTTGAAATTGATATTCATCAATTTCTTCTCCAAAGCTCTCCATAATAATAAATGGTACCAAATGTTCTTCCAAGACTTCTTCTATGTATCTTTGACTGTTGACTGTTCCTTCAAGTCTTATCAATGGTCCTAAGCAGTCCCAAGTAAAACAACCCCATACCATTACCCCACCACCACCATGCTTA